CAGCCTTTTTGTGTATTAATGTGTAATTAAGTCTACATAGTGCATCTCCTTGCTTACCCTTGCTTTGTGGGGGAGGCTGTCTTTAGTCCTTCTTGATTAGAATCCCCATTTTTCTGCTAAGACAATTGGAAGGTCTAAGACTGTTTCTCTTCATGGGGCCAGCCTGTGTGATTGGCAGTCTATAAGGTGTGCTTTCATGCCAGGCAGACATGCCTCTTCTGAGTTCACAGTCCTGGCCATATTTCTGGGCAGCTCAACCCCCTTTGGGCAGAGCCAGTAATGGGGTTTACAATAATAGCACACCGTCTTTCACCCTGCCCACCAGCATCCCTCTTTACGGAATGCCAATGTTAGATGGTAAAGCATGTATTTGATCTGATAAACTATACTTTTTATCAAGAAGAACTTAAAGATGGCTCCCCCTAAATAGAAAGGGTAAACCCATAGATGCATTGAAAATTGGTGTTTATACGTAAATATTAAAAAACATATACGTAATAATACATATACGCTTGTATTTTATATAACAAAAAATTATGGCAGTTCTTCTTTATGTTGTGCTGGATAATTGTTACATGTAAACAGAAGAGAAAGGTGCCAAAATTGGTGACTATCTGTGACTGAGCTACTGTACTCTGACTAAGTACTCTGCCCAATCCGCTTCATAGCCGTTGGGGAGGGAGCCTGGAACACTTCAGCCCCAGTTACCGAAGCTTGACTGGGGTCTCTCCAAAACTCTTCCAATGGACCAGACTCTTCTTTCTTCCAGGCAGGTATCATCACCTCTGCCTAATCCTCTGCAGCTTTCCTTCCATGCAGGTATTGTCCCATCTGCAGCTCAGCTTATAGTGATTGCCTTTACAAAGGCATGTCTAGCCATCAGGCTTAGCTCTCTTGATTTATCCGAGGGCTAGAGGGAGGGTGCAGCTAGCTAACAGGTTCAAGATTCTGTTACTAGCATCCTTAAAAATCCACACAGGACACACAATTCCAGAAATAACTATTTGTATGTTAGTTACTTCTGGAATTGCGTGTCCTGTGTGGATATTTAGTTTAGCTTTATTTTTACTTTATATGATTATTACATAACGCTTACAGTGACACACTCAAATAAATACATAAAACCAAATCACATTAGACAACATACAGGAACTTATAATAACATATTTATCCCCTTCCCAACCGCGGATATATATTGAGGGGTCGAGGCACTCAGTGAAGATTTAAAAAAATAAAAAATGAACCCCTTTCTTCCCTTTCCCTCCATTCCCATGTACTTACCCGATCGCCACCGTTCCCCCGCCGGCAATCGGTGTTCTTCTTCACTGGCGGGGACTGATGGCATACCATTTGCAAAAGAAGACAACCCAAGGTATTGCAAATGGGGTATGTTCAGTCTTTTTTAGTAGTCAGTCACAAACACTGCCAAAGTTAGCGTTCATATTTTTTTTTGCAAATATGGTTTGATGGGGATAAATTACATTGGCTGCCTTCAAAAATGTCCCAAATAGGACATGGGTGCATGATGACCAGCTATGAAAATTCCAAGTTGGAAAATTGGAATGCGCATCCTCCAAATAAGGTCTTTCAGCCCCCAGTAAATGAGTAAGAGGAAAATAGCAGCCAAACACAAACACCGCAGAAATGTAAAAACAGCCCTGCTCCTTAAAGGTAAGAAAATTGAAAAGCGGTCTGGTCACTAAGGGGTTAAAAAGGGGCGGGGAACACAATAATTAACATAAAACATCTCTCCTGTCTGCAGAATTAGAAATATGCAAATCTACCCAAATATGCAAATTAACCAGCCTTGCTAATCAGGTAGTGCAAATAGCTGTTGTTACCAACAGAGGGTGCTCTACAGGCTTCATAACCAAATGCACCTAGTTAGTAGCAAGCGTTATCAGGACATGAGAGCACACAGGACAAGTAACAATACATACACAAATACATATACACACAGTCCAGGGTCCTACATATAATGTTTGTCTTGAACTCCTGGTGTTGGTGACTACTGTCACACTATCTATTTACAAAAGTGGTATCAACTGTCTTTATTGTAGAAGAACAATGCCTAAAAAGTATGGAAAATAATTTGATGTAAATTACATGCTTTTAGTGATTACAGTTAGAGCCCCATTTATTTTTCAAGATGATCTAACTATACACGATCTTACGATCTTGACAGAATTAAACAGTGTAGCTTTAGGTTTTCTTACATGGTGCCAAATCTGAACAGATGGAATTTTGTATTTTTGTTTTTTTTCGCTCAAATATTTTTAGGTTTTTAATTAATATTATTTCCCATGCACCATCGGATTGTCAGGTTTAAAATGACCCTAATTTTTCATCATATCATGTTTTTTTTAAATTTATTTTTACAAAACAGTTTTATATGCTGTTTTCAAGTATCTATGGGACTGTTTAAAATATGTGTATGACGGAGCCAGTAACATGTTGCCATGGAGATGAATGCTACTGTAATTTTTTAAACAATATATATTTGTCAAACAAGTTAAAAATACAGACTACTCACCAGTATGAGAAGTCGGTCTGGGAGAATTAAGGATAATCACCAGGATTGAGAGCGATGTTTAGGTGATAATCCGGTTAGTTGGAATATTATAGAGAAAATCCAGAAGGTTTGTTAAAGTCCAATCCAATTTGAGTGCCTCTCTGTCTAATTCTTTATTCCTGTCAATACTTGTTGTGGGTTACCCCCACTAGAGGTCTCTATAGCATGCTTCTTAGTTCCCTTGTGGAACTCTAATATTATTTATCATGTTTACAAATAATCTCATTATTCTCACTGGAACTAATGTTTTCTTTTCTTTTTTGTCAATCTCTTTTTATTGAAATTTTTTTTTTTTAATCGTACCAATTTAGGCCATGTGACATAAGGATGGTATACATAAAAGTGTACATAAGTTGCAAAACACGGTGTATCATAATAAGAAAAGATATGCATCCTTAAAGTTATGGGCCGATGTTGGTACAGTGTCAAGCGTGGGTGAAATGCTCTTGGAAAATGGCCACGTGGTATAGGTGGGCTTAAGTGCACCCCATTCAGGTAGTGGGATTATGGCCTTCTTCTAAATACTCCCTCAGCCTAGGGGCCTGGGGGGGAGGGAGTTTGGACTGGTAATGGGTCAGCAGGGCAGGCCGTCAGAAAGTGGGACTATTGGACTGTGTATGGCTCAGCGTGGTTTAGGTAAATAGAGCACATTTTTAATTTAACAGTGCATATCCAAGATGCTGGGCTCTCATGGAGGTTAGGCGTCCAGAGCGGGTCGTTGGTGAGTGTATAGAAGTGTTAGAGCTACTGTAAGAGTATGTGTAAAAAGTAGCTATTTAGATCTAAATAGCTTCCTTTCCATATTGCAACATTTAACCTGTGCTAGGTCCCCCCTTATTGCATTAGCTGCCCAGTCACTAGTACTTTTAAACTTACTTAGGCGACATGCCCCTACTCGCGTTATGCCGTGAGTAGGGGCATGCGGGAGGATTTAACCTCCCTTTTATCAATATAAGGGTCATAGTGACCCCATACTGATTTATCTTGAGTGTTAAATGACTGCGAGCAGCGGACGAAATTCGGGATAGATGAATGAAATTTTTATTTAGAACGAAAACATTTGTACGAAACGAAAATTTCACTGGTGCAGATGTCTAACCCTTCCCATAGTGCTCTATCCTGCCCCCCCCTTCCCATAGTGCTCTCCCTCCCTCCCTGTCCCTTAGAGTATCTTTCCTTAAGTGGTCACTCCCCCTCCCCCCTGCACCTTTCCCTTACTGGCCTCTCCCCCCCCATTTTTTCCTTAGTTGTCTCTCCTCCCACACCCCCATCATTTCCTTAGTGGTCTCTCACCCCCCCACCTTTCCCTTTAGTGGTCTCTCCTTCCCCTCCCCCCCCTTTGGGGCTCTCTCCTCCCCTATTTTTCCCTTGGTGCCCCCCCACCTTTCCTTAGTGAGCTTCTCCTCCCCCATCTTTCCCTTGGTGGTCTCTCCTCCCCCCACCCAGTGTCCCTTAGTGGTCTCCCCCTCTCCCAGTGTCCCTTAGTCCCATCTCCCATCCCTTCCCTGTTGTGCCTCCTACCTCTATGTAGCTCACTTAGAGAGCACTCCTTTTCAGTCCAGCCGGGTACAGGAAGCTTCTGTACCGCAGTCCCCGCCGCCCGGCCACGCTACACTGAGTGACTGTCTGGAGGGAGCTCAGTGTGCTTCCCTCCTGCCAGGTCACTCCAATCTTGCACCCCTCGGGCCTGTGCGCCCTAGGTGACTGCCTAAGTTGCCTATAGGACCCGCCAGCCCTGACTATAGTCACCAAAACAACGTTTACTTAATTAAGTGTTTATTGTGTATAGACCATGCTTCTGAAGTCTCCGTGCTCAATCATATCCCATTTAGGCTGACTGACACAGCCTGCATGAAAAAAATGGCTTCATTTTTAATTAAATGTAACTTAATTTAAATGTTTTTAAGCTCATGCTCTATAAATTGAACTTTAATTAAGGAGGTTTCTGCAAGGTCTAGCAAGCTATTAACAGAGCAGGAGACAAGAAATTCTAAATTAAGCAGGATTTGTAAATAAAAGAAGTGTAAACAATAGATGACTCTTTACAGGAAGTGTTTATGGAAGGCTGTGCAAGTCACATGCAGGGAGGTGTGACTAGGGTTCATAAACAAAGGGATTTAACTCCTAAATGGCAGAGGATTGAGCAGTGAGGCTGCAGGGGCATGTTCTATACACCAAAACTGCTTCATTAAGCTAAAGTTGTTCAGGTGACTATAGTGTCCCTTTAATAGCTCATTTTGTCTTCTAACTAGACTTCATGGTTTATTTAAGATCACAGTGTTTCTTTATACCAGCTCGGCTGTATAACATAGTGTAAATCGCACAGTTCAGCATTTAGTGATGAATCAGTGACGTTCACCGTATTACAGGTTGCTATGGCAACAGACGCTCGTCGGCTCTCGTCCTGGAACGCCAGGAAACCGGAAGCGGAAGTGTCAGTGTCCGGGCGGCCATATTGGAAGCGGGGGAGGAATAGTAACAGCGAGGAGATAGTGGGGAGGACCGAGCTGACCTGGACTGAGAGGTGAGGGGAGCCGGGTGTGGACAGGGAGCGGGGTAGGTGACACGGGGAGGAGGGGGTAGGACAGGGGCCCCGCTGTTTGGAGGCTGCTGGGGGCCCAACATTGCCGGGCAGGAAGTAGAGGCCGGGGCCGGTAAGCTGGGCCCACGTCTACCCCCAGGCTGTCAGGTAAACACATCTGTCAATCATCCCCGCCAGCTGCCTGCCAGGGTCTGATACAAAGCCACCAGCCTGGAGACCCCTCACCCTGAGACCCCCCCTCAATCACCCTGAGACCCCCCCTCAATCACCCTGAGACCCCCCTCGGTGCCTGGGGCCCCCCTCAATAATCACCCCTGAGACCCCCCCTCAATCACCCGCCGGACACCTCAGACTGCTGCGGTTCCCCCCACCTCAATCACCCTGGGACCCCCCTCAATCACCCTGGGACCCCCCCCTCAATCACCCCACAAGGACCCCCCTCAATCACCCTGGGACCCCCCTCAATCACCCTGGACCCCCTCAATCACCCTGGACCCCCTCAATCACCCTGAGACCCCCTCAATCACCCTGGAGACCCCCTCAGTCACCCCTGGGACCCCCCTCAATCACCCGGGACCCCCTCAATCACCCTGGGACCCCCCCCTCAATCACCCCTGGGGACACCTCAATCACCCCTGGGGACCCCCCTCAATCACCCTGGGACCCCTCAATCACCTAGGACCCCCTCAATCACCCTGGAGACCCCCCTCAATCACCCTGGGACCCCCCTCAATCCCGCCTAGGACCCCCTCAATCGCCTGGACCCTCAATCCCTTGCCCTGGGACCCCCCCTCAATCACCCTGGGACCCCTCAATCCGCCCTGGGACCCTCGTCTTCCCTGGGACCCCCCTCAATCCACCCCTGGGGACCCCCTCAATCACCCTGGGGACCCCCCCCTCAATCACCCTGAGACCCCCCCTCAATCACCTGGAGACCCCCCCCTCAATCACCCCTGAGACCCCCCCCTCAATCACCTGGGACCCCCCCTCAATCACCCCTGGGACCCCCCCAATCACCCTGAGACCCCCCCTCACCCTGAGACCCCCATCGCCCTCAGTAATAGCTCAGCATGGACACACAGTGTGATCTGGGCTGCAGCTTCTTTTAGTTTCAGACATATGGCTTTATGGGCATCCCAAACAGCCTGCTGCACAGCAAGTGACTTATTGAAGGTAGACTACACACCTGCTGCAAGACTATGATTCTCCATAAGCCCTTTCTGTCCTCTGGTTGGCAAGAGATGATGATGAGTTGTGGTTAGATAACAATTCAGGGTCTACTTGTTGGTAACCCCCTGCTGCACAACAGGTTGTGCATCATGTATTTGTCTGTGTATATTGTAAGTTTCTCCACTAATTGTACAGCGCTGCAGAATCTGTTGGCGCTTTATAAATAGGTGAGCTGTCATGAGTGAGATAGGTGCAAGGTCAGTCTGGGGGTAGGCAAGCTGTCTACTTTAGTATTTAGGAATTTCTGCTCCTTTTCCTGATGGTTTTGTTGCCTGTTGCCTCCCTTTTCAGTATTCTGTTTATTATGCACCCTGATTAGACCATATGGATTTATATATTTTGAGGTCCTGATGTCTGCACCCTTATAGGACTATTAATTTTATAAATAATATAGTAAAAAAAAAAAAAAACAATATACACATATGCGCGCACACACATCCCAGCAGATTTACTTGTGAAATTAAGCCATCATTGCAGGTGTTACTTAATATTAACATTGGACACAGTATCTACGGGTGCTCATTTGGAATTGTTTTTTCCCCTCTGTGAAGTTTTATCCTACATTTTGCAAATTGGTTGTCAGTACACTTTGTAATTTTTGTAAATGGTTACTCTAAAAATACAATAGTACAAAGAATTAGGGGAGCACATAAATGGTGCACAAAACTGTTTTCTTGTATTGACATACTTAAATATAAAAAGAAAAGTAACTGCTGTACTGATCATGCAAAGTGACTGGCAGGTATCATGCATGATGGAGGTCCCATGGTGGCAATCTAACAGGGTTATTCGCTAAAGTAAGAATTGCTGGGAATGCAAAGTGAATTTCAAAACTTAGGCTAAAGTAGCCTCAATCAAAATAGAAACATTCCTAAAGTCAATTCTGTTTTCAGTTTTACTAATTTACCCTGAAACTTTCAATTCACTTTGAATTCCTGGCATTTCTAGCTTTAGTAAATAACTCTGCAAGTCTTGCGTGTGGTTACAGCATGTGCAATGAGAATGGACTTATTTTCCCCTCCAGTGGAGAGAGCCAAGCGCTGTCAGCAGCTCAAGCAGTTGCTGCATCTAATCTGGTTTGCAAACTTCGAATTAGTCTGTGTAAAAACTACATCAGTATCATGTAGTGTGTGGATCTGTGGCAGAGAACTCCATATCCCAAAATTCCCTGCTGGAGACAGGTTTTTGGGATAGTTTAAAAAACAAACAAACAAAAAAAAAACCTAGGATGAAAGGCTCCTAACTGGTGTAGATAAGCATTTTTTGATAACCCTTCCATTTTAACTAAATCTTACAGCCCACAATATGTCTATATTATGCAAGTGCTAAATGGTTACTCCAAACATTATAACCACTGTGGTTATTATGCTTGGATAAACCCTTTAATGTGATGTTAGACTTGCCCTGGTAAAATCCCTCGGTAAGTGTAGAAATTGTCTTAAAGGGACACTATAGTCACCAGAACAACTACAGCTTATTGAATTTGTTCTAGTGAGTAGAATCATTACCTTCAGGCTTTTTGCTGTAAATTTCACTGGTGCACGTGTCTAACTTTCCTCATAGAGATTTATTAATTCAATTCATCTCTATGAGGAGATGCTGATTGGCCAGGGCTGTGTTTTGAATTGTGCTGGCTCTGCCTCTTTGTCAGTCTCAGCCAATCCTATGGGGAAGCATTGTGATTGGATCATGCTACCACTTCTGCTGATATCAGTGGGCAGGTCTAAAGGAAACGGTGACAAAGCAAGCAGCTTCCAGACTTTAATACAAGTAAGATTTCTATATTCAGGGAGGCATGAGGGGCTCAGGGTGGCTAGAGGGTGGTTTTAACCCTATAGGGTCAGGAATACATGTTTGTGTTCCTGACCCTATAGTGCTCCTTTAATTGTGTCTTGCTGGGCTGCTTCCTCTAATTGCTGCCTAATGACATCCAACTGTACAGAGGTCTTTTGCCAAATATGTCGGTTATTCATTGTCTGAGGGCGTCATCTAAAAGCCCTCAGCTGATGAATGACCTTCTCTGCAAGAAAAATGCACGGAATTGACGTTAACCAGGCTGGAACTCTGGTTCTGGGCTGGCTAATGACCCTGACGGAGGTGGAATTATACCTCTGCAAGCTGCATATATCTGTGTGTGCAGCATTTTATTGAAATGCTGCACAATTGGGTTTCTTGCACCATGCCCACTTCATAGCACTGAAGAGATCACATTGCTTGGCTTGACCCTTTAATGATGTAGAAGTGTCAAAGTAAATAATTTGCTTCTCCAAATTTTACAAATAATTAGATAATTGCAACCATACATAGTTTTAGAATTAAATTACTCTCGAGGTGCAAATAGTATCAGTCATGTGTATTATTTTATTATCTTGTTACATGTCGTACTACAGTTTCAATAAATTGTCTACTTTTTATGTACAATTAGTGTTTGCATATGGCTGGGGTCTCTTTGAATCTAAAGCTGTAGCTTTCTATGTGTCTCAATCCTCAAAGTATGCCGCAAACACATTCACCTCAAGCCCTATAATAGATAAATGCAGTCTTTATATGTATTTTTTTTTTTTTTTTAATACATGTCACAACTAAAATTGCCAGTTAAGTAAATTAAGCAAGGCTTTAAAGGGACACCCCAGATCCCGAAGGCACTTTAGCTTGCTTAAAAACTTCTTGTGAGGTGGTTTTCATTTTGAAAAAAGTGCAGATTAAAATAAAAATGGAAGGTTTTATAAATTAACCGTGTTGCACCCCCTTGGCTTTTAAGCAGATAACTAACCCTGTTACTTCCTGGTTTGCTTAGGCCCAGAGCACCTGTGTTGTAAAGACTTCTCATTGAGCTGTATTGTGAAGTCAGTGATTGGCAAACCACAGAAAGTCTGTCGGGAAGGCTTGCAAAGGTTTCAGACAAAAGATCTGCAGGTTTTGCAAGCTGTTTTTATATACCTTCAATGGAAAAAATGCATAATTAAATGCATGCACGTTTTCATTTGTGGTATATCTACTAAATAGTGATTTTTATTTTGTGTGTGGGTGGCGGAGTGACCCTTCAAGTGAATTTGACATATTATAATTTGCTGCTGATGGTAAAAATGAAAAGATAGCTCTGCCTTGAACATTGGGATCATTTGACATTGGTAACCACTGGTCTAAATGGTTGATCAATAGTGGTTGACTAACCTTGGATTTGGGAATAGTATTTGTTCCGTCTGTAATGAGACAAGTGAACTAAAACTGAATGAGGCTAACTGACGCAAACTGATGTTTTTATCCGTTCGTTTTGTCTTACACCCTGTTTTAGCTGATACATATCTTCCGTTAGTAATGCACAATGCTATACATTGAACCCTGTTTTTATAAAGATGGCTGAATGTGTAGAACAAGTAAGCCTTCACAAACGTCTAAGTGTGTGCATGAATAGTCACTTGTATATGATTCCCCCATGTTTGCTGTTTTTAAAAGAGGAATTTATAGATTCTAACATTCCTGGAAGCAAGGACTTGCTGTATGCAGTAAGACATGTTATAGCTCTACAGTTGACAGCACATGAATGTATTAATAACATATAAATTGAGAGAGAAAGTTATGTTATTGTGTTAAAAAAAAAAAAAAAAAAATCCTTTATTCAGACATAATCTTTTAAAAGTGTGGGCTGGACGGGAGGGATTTGTTTTGTAACTGTTCTTCTTTCATCCCCGTTTGCTGAGCCTTAGTGCCAATTGTTGGCACTTATACCACTACCGTAATTTGGGAGGAAGCATGTCAAGCTACTCACATGGAATTTGTGGGTACTTTTCAATTAACTGTACTCCCCAGGTCATCTTTGGTATTCACAGTGCTTTTCGGAAAAGTGCAATAATGAAACCAGCAATTCTAAACAACAGATTAAGATAAAGTCAGTAATACCAACACCAGTGAATACTGCCACTTACAAGACCACTCTCTGAGAAAACCCCACCAACACATTCCACCAGAATGGAGCCAGATACCAAGGAATACACAGGATTGATAATACATACCGAATGCATTGTACATAAACAGTACATCTTGTCTATTGGTATATTTTTTTTTATTTTTTTTTATATTGTATGTATTGTTAATCCTGTGTATTCTGTGGTGTCTGGCATTCCTTTTGGAAAAGTACAACATTTCCTTCCTCTGTCCCTTTTTAACACCTCACATGAGTCACATCCCTGCTTTACTTTGAACTCCAGACGGCTCACTTACTCTGTTCCTCAGATACGGTTTGCAGGGAAGAAGAGAAGGCAATTAATCCCAGCTTGTGCTGTATATTGTTATGGTTTTTCCTATGTGTCATAAGATTATAGGGGTGGGGGAACAGACTTAAAATGAAAATTACACCTCTTCTGACAAGTGATTTGAATCATATTATAGAGAGTATTTCTGGAGCGGTGTGGCGAGCTAGAAAAATTTTAATCCATTTCTTTTGGCCCTTTAACACAAGAGATGAACTCCGTGTTTGCTGACGTTGTTTTACTAATTTTACCTTTTCATTTTATCTAGATGAGCAACAACAGCAATAAGAGAGCACCAACAACTGCAACTCAGAGACTAAAGCAGGACTACCTGCGGATTAAGAAAGACCCTGTGCCTTACATCTGTGCTGAGCCATTACCTTCAAATATCCTGGAATGGTGAGCTTACATTAAGAACGATACCGTGAAGCAGGGAACTATTACATCTTAAAGTAACACTGTAGGCACCCAGATTACTTCGGCTAATTGAAGTTGTCTGGGTGCTGTGACCCTTTTGCACTTAGTGCTGCAATGTAAAACATTGCATTTGCAGAGAACTGCAATGTTTACATTGCAGCTCTAAGTCTGCCCTCTGTGGCTGTCTAACAGCCACTGGGGGCACTTCTGGAATCAAAATCGACCTTTGGTCCTCGCAGCGTCAGATTTTCCCCATAGGAAAGTATTGAATAATGCTTTCCTATGTGGAGGTCTAATGCACGCGAGACCATTGCCGCGCATTAGGTCTCCCCCGCCGGCTGACAGCGAGAGAAGAGCATGGGAGGAGCCCGACCCAGCGCCGAGGGACATAGGCGCTAGATTCAGATAAGTAGCTGAAGGGGTTTTAACCCCTTCAGCGACATGGGATGGGGGTAGGAGGGAGGGGGGCACTCCAGAAGCCTATAGTGCCAGGAAAACGGGTTTGTTTTCCTGCCATATAGTGCCAGGAAAACGGGTTTGTTTTCCTGCCACTCGGGAATCCCTTTAAGTACTTGTCCTGACAGTGAATGCTTCCAGTTTATGTGACGTTTGGGACATTCACAGGACACAGGATTTTAGGAGGAGCAGTGAGCATAGAAACTGTTTTTCTGTGTGAAAGTGTTGATAATTCAACCCTTGGACTTTATTACTGTAAAACGAACCCCTCCATGTTATAGAATTTTTATTAATCCTCGTAATTTTATACAGTGTGGAAGATATTAAATTGCCAATGGTGCTGCACTAACCTGTCCCCAGAATTCTCAGCCAAACTCTGGCATCCAGTTTGGCGGAAATTGACACTCCAATTCCCCAAAGCACTTCAGCTTAAATGCATGTCCGCAGAGGCTTGATTTAGAAAAGTGTCAATTTCAAGAGAAATCTACACTGTTGTGAAGGCCTTAAGGGTTTCCTGGCTTAATTGCTTTAAACTGTTGTCCAAAGCAGAAGTTGAAGCTTCTCATAGTGAAGTCCTGGTTTCAAAGCTAATTAAAGGGACATTCTAGGCACTGTAATAATTTCTTCACAGTGAACTTATTATACTGCCTACAGTTCAGGTCCAATATATGCCCAATCTCTAGTTTAAGTAACAGCGATCTGCTGAGTTCAGTTGTGTGTTTTGTTTTTTTTTTCCCCGTTTTTTTTTTTTTCTTTGTGGTTGTGCTGCTTTTGCACATGTTTAATGATATCTGAAAATGGTGTTCTCCTGAATTACTAGATTCCAAGATTAAAGTGCACCTGTCATGGTACACATAACTTGGTTTTAAAGGAAAACTTTAGGGTCAGGAATAGAAACACATATTCCTGACCCGATGGTGTTAAAAATACATGTATAGGGTATCTGGCCCCCTTTAAGAAAGTAAAAAAACAATACAAACCAGCGCCACGTGGGTTCGCATACCATGTCACTGATCCGCCACCTGTCACTGATTCTCTGAAAAGGCAGTGTTTACATTAAAAAGCCTGCTGGGACTGACTATACTCACCAGAACAACTACAATAAGCTGTAAACTCGTCTACCACCTGTCCATCTTTCCTTGGCATTAGACTTGTGTGCCTGCAGCATACAGGACTAAGCATAGGATTGAATGACCGGGAGAGGCAGGTCTTATGTTAGTATCACAGTGCTTTTCTCCCAGAAAGCGTTTTCCCATGCTTGCAGAGGTAGTAAATGATGTGTTGATGCCGATGTCATTAGAGAAGATTGTCCTGCTGGGCAAAGTGTTCCCAAGCAGGGAGAATCTTGGCAGAGAGGGTGTGTGTTTTAATACAGTGTAACACTGACATCCCTCAGGGAATGGTGGCAATGGATTGATAACCATCAGGTGACTACTAATAAAAAAGAGACAAAGGCATAAAAATGATATAATTTATCGCTAACATACAGCCTCTCCCAAGGCAGTAAATCTATTATTAAGTGAACGTGGGATGGTGAATTCACTTTAAAACCATTGAACATGTGGAAAGCTGTCAAACTGACTCACTGTCTTCGTGTTATATTTGCATTAAAAGTATGTCATTGTAACTATATAGAAAGTAAGATATTTAAATTTTACCGGATTAAAGAATAATAGTAGGCATGGACCTCATTCAGAGGGAAATCTACAACCCCTTGTTGTCTCAAAAATACTTCCATTACATAATAATAATACATACATGGGGTGATCAAAAACATTTCCCCCCTTTTCTTTTAATGTTTGTTATCCCTTTTCTTTTAAATTAATTATTCACTACATAAACATGTATGTTGTATCTGAGAATCTGGAAACTGCTCCTTCCTCTTTTATCTGTAAGTAATAAAAATCCTTATTTTATTGCAAGTCTGTTTCCAGTTTACTATCACATGATCGCAGATCTCGCATAAAGGGCATTACGATAACACATGTGCATCCATCTACACGTGGAACCAAAGGTCCAAAAGGTTATGCTTGTGTTTGTCCATACAACCATGGCCTGTTTTCCTGGACTGCACATGATTGGTGAGAGTTACACTGCCAAATGGCAGAAGAAATTGCTTCCTCCAGATGCTGCAACTCCCACTAAATCTCAGGAAGCACTAGGACACCGATACCGCAGTGCTTCCCTTAGTGCCCCCTCACCAAACTACTGACTAATGCACTACAGTAAACACTCTGCTATAACAAAGTGTGTATTATGGTAAAATGCCATCTCTTCTTATGTATATTCATAAGCCACTCAGCCTTTTAGTATATTTTTATTCTTTTACTTCTCAAGTGTATGCAAATTGTAAATGTAGATATGCCATTTTAACCTTTTAAAGATCAGTTTCAAGGTAGAAGTTTCACAATCCTAATTGGAGCTTTTTGAAAGTGATTAACACCACAGCAAGGTTTATAAACACCAGTAATAATAAGGTGCACTAATCCACATACGTGTTTATTTGGGAGTTGTCTTTCTATTGTTTACATTGAACACTATGGGTTTCTTATTTAAGTGTTAATGAATCCTTATAAAAGAAGCATTTATCCACAATACATGTGCTAATTTTATTTGAAGTAAAAATAATTTGCCCTAGATACTGGCTTTTTAAAATTTGTTTCCTGTATACACATTTCCTTAATCTCCTTTTTAATTTGATTGGCATCAGGGAGTGGAGAACTTGCATGATGTGGGGGCTGCTGATATCTTTGGATGTGCTTTGTGTGCCTCTTTCATACTTTTTATTATTAGTGTATTTTAGTGACTTATTAGGTTGAGAAAATAATCGTATATGGAACATTTCCACTTTAACCCCTTAAGGACCAAACTTCTGGAATAAAAGGGAATCATGACATGTCACACATGTCATGTGTACTTAAGGGGTTAAAGGGACACTATAGTCTCCAAAACACCTTTTGCTTCATGAGGCAGTTTTGGTGTATAGAACATGCCCCTGCACTCTCACTGCTCAATTCTCTGCCATTTAGGTGTTAAATCACTTTGTTTAGGCAACCCTAGTCACACCTCCCCTGGCTGTCAATGACATAGCTTGCATTGGGGGGGAGCTGGTGGGGGGACGGGAGTAAAGTAACCTACTTTAAAAGATTTTATCTCCTGCTCTATAAATTAAACTTTAATTACACAAAGGAGGCTTCTGCAGGGTATAGCAAGCTGTTACCGAGCAGGAGATACAACATTCTAAATTAAACAGAATTTGCAACAATGAAGGATAAACTTTAGATGACTCTTTACAGGAAGTGTTTAGGATTTAGTAAGTCACATGCAGGGAGGTATGACTAGGGCAGTGTAAATAAATTGTGTTAACTCCTAAATGGCAGAGTATTGAGCAGTGAGACGGTAGAGCTATGTCTATGCAACAAAACCCCTTCATTTAAAGGACCACTATAGTGCCAGGAAAACACTAGTTTTCCTGGCACTATAGTGCCCTGAGGGTGCCCCCACCCTCAGGGTCCCCCTCCCGCCCGGCTCTGGAAAGGGGAAAGGTGTTAAAACGTACCTTTTTCCAGCGCTGGGCGGAGAGCTCTCCTCCTCCGATCCTCCTCTTCTCCTCCCCGTCAGCTGAATGCGCACGCGCGGCAAGAGCTGCGCGCGCATTCAGCCGGTCACATAGGAAAGCATTCATAATGCTTTCCTATGGACGCTGGCGTGCTCTCACTGTAAAAATCACAGTGAGAAGCACGCAAGCGCCTCTAGTGGCTGTCAATGAGACAGCCTCTAGAGGATTAGGGGGAAGGCTTAACCCATTCATAAACATAGCAGTTTCTCTGAAACTGCTATGTTTATGAAAGAATGGGTTAACCCTAGCTGGACCTGGCACCCAGACCACTTCATTAAGCTGAAGTGGTCTGGGTGCCTAGAGTGGTCCTTTAAGGGATTCTATAGTGGAAGGAAAACAAACCCTTTTTCCTGGCACCATAGGCTCCAGCAGTGCCCCCTGCGGTGCTGAAGGGGTTAAGGGTTAAAACACCTTCAGTCACTTACCTGAATCCAGCGCCGATGTCCCTCTGCACTGGGTCAGGCTTCGCCCATGGTCCTCCCTGACGTAAGCGGGGAGAGAACTAATGCACATGCACGGCAATGGCTGCGCTCACATTAGGATTGCCTCATAGAAAAACATTATTCAATGCTTTCCTATGGGGAAAAATCTGACGCTGGAGGTCTTCATGCAGAGCCAAGTCTGTTTAGATTCTGGAAGTCCCTCTAGTGGCTGTCTGGTAGACAGCCACTAGAGGAGGACTTAACCCTCAGAGGTTGTAATTGCAGTTTCTCAGAAACTGCAATTATTACCACTGTAGGGTTAAGAGACATGGGACAGTGAGTTAAAGGGGTCTGGGTGCCTACAGTGTCCCCTTTAAGCTAACGTTATGTTGCACAGTCTTTTGTATGCATTTGTTTGAGAATGAATCTTGTGGTTCCACTTACTTTTCTAATCTGGGCCTTTTTTAGGTTCTTCTCGAGTTACAGGAAATGATGATCTAATTAGTGTCTCCTTTGCTTTCTAAGAAAGGGAAACGAATCCCATAGCCACATAGGCAGCGTTTCCTCTTTAATGTTTGCAGGCTTTGGTGTATCATGCCGCTTTCAGTGTAAACGCTTACTTGTTTGAGCCACAGATGCAGCGTTTCCTTTTGTGTATGTTTCGGTGTAAATCTCTACTTGTTTGATCAAGTAGAGAATGTAAAATGAAACTTGAAACAAGCCTGAAAATAACATTTTCATACCTTGTGCTCCCGACCTTCACATTCACTCCTTGTGCCAGCTCAGAAACCAGTGAACGGATACATCCCTTGGACAACGTAAGACCTCACAAGTAGTAAACAGAAAAGACCTGGTTTAGGTTTAGTGACCTGCAATGGCTATCCCACGGCATTAGATAAATATTTCTGTGAAATGTGGTTATTCTCTTTACACACAGGGCAGTGCACAATTGTGCAGTTCTATAGTCTCTCGACATCAGTAGAGGATAAGGGGTTTGGAGTTGTGAGAGAGAGACATTGTTATTTGATCCTGGAACCTTAGTGACCGTGGTGCTGTTTAAGAAAGTGCTGATTAGAGCACTATAATGGTCATACTACGGCTGTCTTTCCACTGCCAGGCCAGTACTACACACCCACATATGTTAATTCGGCTGAGTAAGAGACGCCGCAAAGAATTGTGGGCACGCAACTACATTATTGAAGTTTGGTTTTCAGATGTTGGGGGCCCTGTACATGCTTCTATTTATTGACCTTCTCATTTATATACAGCATGTAACATTGATGAGAACACTAGCTGACTACTGTACATGTTTAGACACTCTTCCTGTGCTATCTTCTTATAGTTACTTTTGCATTTACGCACCCTGGCACTTCATTCGTGTGCGGCACACTTTTGGATGCAAGCATGGACTGTCACTTGGCTAGTTAGAAGTTAAGTGATAATTATATTTTTAGAAAGCTAATTTCTATGCTTTTTTGTGCGTTTTAAGGTTGGAATTACTTCAAAAACTAGAACAGCATGGATACTGAATGTAAATTTTCATGTTTTGTTTTATTTTTTAAATGTATTTGTTCTTTGCTTATTGCAGGCATTATGTGGTCCGAGGTCCTGAGATGACACCTTATGAAGGTAAACTACTGATCACCAGTGTTTTGTGTTTTGTTTTTTGTTTTTTTGTGGGGAGGAAGAGGGATGGGCATATAATCATGAGCAATTAAAGTAATTCTCTAGTGTAAGGAATACACATACAAAGTTGTATTCCTTCCACTATAGTTCCTTCTAGCCACGTGCCCCCTCCCTTTACTGACACTTGATGTCCTCACGCAGAGCATGAGGACTTCCAGTGTCAGGCGACTAAAAGTCACATAGCCACCAGGAAATGCCTTTAGTGGCTGTCTGCCACTAAAGGCAGTCGTAGTTTCTCATAAATTGCAATGATTTACATTGCAGGACTAAGTGGAAATGGGACACTGCAACCATACCACTTAAATGAGCATAAGTGGTCTGGGTGCCTATAGTGTTCCTTTAATACAGGGGTGTCCAAAAGGTAGATCCACAGATGTTTTAAAATTACAGCTTACTTGATGCTTTGTCTTTCTAAAGGCATACAAAGCATAATGGGAGTTGTAGTTCTATAACTTCTGGGGATCTACCTTTTTGGGAACCCCTGCTTTAATAGAAAAAAATTAGGGTCCAAGCAGCAGATATACAACTGTTGTACATAACTCCTCATAATATGCAAGAAGCCACAGGAGTTGTTGTTATCTAACTGCTAAACGCCGAATGCTATCCCCTGCTTTTTTTTTTGCACTTGGTGACAACTACTGATAACCTGTGTATTACTGAGCATCTATATACCCTTTAAAAACACCTCACCTAGGCATAAATAATGTGGGTTTAGTTGCAATATATGATCATACATTGCATAAGCCTGTCACATCGTCAATGTACCACATTCTTGGCAGTTCCTACTCTGGCAGCCTAATGCCTGCTCTTATGAGCTTACTCCACTTACTTGGGAAATTCTTCCTCCCGGACTCTCTGAAGTGCTAGGTTAAATAGGGTCCTGAAATGAGGCAAATGTGGAAGGGGTACAAAACTGGGGAGTTGGCCTGGACTCCCAAATATATTTATATATGATACCAAGAGGGCTACACTCCCCTGAACATGCATTCATTATAAGGGTGCTGCTGGAGCCAAATCATACAACATAGACAATCCAGCACACTCACTCATTCACTAAACAGCAATTCCAAGGTTCACAGAGTGTAATAGTTTTATTTATTTTTATCATTTTTTGAGATATAATTTTTTATATAAATAATGTCCACCTCTACAAAACAGCAGTTAGTGAAGTACACTTCACACGATGCTCGGCCAGCCTAAAGTGTCAAAATTAGCCGACACTAATATAGATGTGACATTTGGCACTGTGAATAACTATTTATTTAAAGAAGTGTCACTTTCAGATGCTTGTTGCCACATTTGCCAAAATCATTCAATATTTGTCTTATTTCTTTTGATTTATGGTGTAATTTCTATGGAATTCCAGTGCAGTCTGAGTCTTTCATTAAAGTTTTCTCTTTATAAAACTCCTAAATTACAGTTCTGCTTTAATATGTGTGTGTGTGTGTATATATATATATATATATATATATATATATATATATATATATATTTTGTATGTGTATGTATTCTATCTTCATGTAGAATATTTTATTTTTTATTCTGTTGTCCCCCAGGTGGATATTACCATGGCAAACTTGTATTTCCCAGAGAATTCCCCTTTAAACCACCTAGTATTTATATGATCACCCCTAATGGACGATTTAAATGTAACACACGGTAAGGATTCCTAATTTAGCTATTTCTTTTATGCTTTACTATAGGATTGCCTTAATATTAGATATGTTTTGGTTGCCTATGTATTTTAGATACTCTAAATGTGTACTTACAAAATATATTCAAAAGAGGAAGGCAAAATATCAACTGGCGCTATTGCAAGGACTGTGATTTTAGTATAGTTTTGTTATACACTGCCTGGCCAAAAAAAGTCACCATAAAAAAAAAAAGGTCTTTAGCTTTGATTACGGCACGCATTCGCTGTGGCATTGTTTCGATAAGCTTCTGCAACGTCACAAGATTTATTTCCGTCCAGTGTTGCATTCATTTTTCACTAAGATCTTGTATTGATGATGGGAGAGTCTAACCACTGCGCAAGGCCTTCTCCAGAACATTCAAAAGGTTCTCAATGGGATTAAGGTCTGGACTCTGTGGTGGCCAATCCATGTGTGAAAATGTCTCATGCTCCCTAAACCACTCTTTCACAATTTGAGCCCGATGAATCCTGGCATTGTCATCTTGAAATATGCCCGTGCCATCAGGGAAGAAAAAATCAATTGATGGAATAACCTGGTCATTCAGGCAGTCAACTGACCTCATTTTTTGGGGCGCATGATGTTGCGGAACCTAGACCTGACCAACTGCAGCAACCTCAGGTCATAGCGCTTCCCCCACAGGCTTGTACAGTAGATACTAGGCATGATAAGTGCATCACTTCATCTGCCTCTCTTCTTACACTGATGCGCCGATCATTCTGGGCCAGGGTAAATCTGGACTCATCAGACCACATGATTTTCCTACCGTTGTTCCAGAGTCCAATCTTTATGCCCCCTAGCAAATTGAAGCCTTTTTTTCCGATTAGCCTCACTAATAGTTTTCTTAAGGCTACACAGCTGTTCATTCCCAATCCCTTGAGTTCCCTTTGCATTGTGCGTGTGAAAATGCTCTTTTTTGACTATTAAACATAGCCCTGACTTCTACTGTTGCTTTTCTACAATTTGATTTCACCAAGCGTTTAAGTGATCGATCACGACCAATCAGGATTTTATCCGGCCACTATTCTTCCTCGAAGGTGATGGTTCCCCACTATCCTTCCAGTTTTTAATAATGCGTTGGAGAGTTCTTAACCCAATTTTAGTAGTTTCTGTAATCTCCTTAGATGTTTTCTCTTGATGCATGCCAATGATTTGACCCTTCTCAAACAGACTAACATCTTTTCCACTACCACGGGATGCGTCTTTCGACATGGTTGTTTAAGAAATGAGAAACTACTCATTGCATCACTTGTGGTTAAATAACTTGTTTCCAGCTGAAAGATGATCACCCATGCAGTAACTATCCAATAGGAGGCTTTTACCTATTTGCTTAGTTAAATCCAGGTGGCGACTTTTTTTGGGGCCAGGCAGTGTATATAGTCAGTTTATTTTAGAGTATTGTGGAGGGGGATATGGTAAGTGCAGCAGATGCAGACATGTGGGTTAAATTATTAAAATCAAGAAATATAACTGGCTTTCCCCTTATGTATTTTTCCCGCAGTCTCTGCCTTTCAATAACAGACTTCCACCCAGACACCTGGAACCCTGCATGGTCGGTCTCTACAATCCTAACTGGTCTGCTCAGCTTTATGGTGGAAAAGGGACCCACGCTTGGGAGCATAGAAACGTCAGACTTTACAGTAAGCATCAATAACTCCATCTGGAAAGCCATTTGTAGATTTTGTATTTTTATTTTGTTTTAAAACGGAAACTTCACATACCATAACAATTTATAAGTTCTAATGCAAGGATGTCCCCTGTCCTTTCTTCGTTTTTTACAATTGTTTTAAATACACGTTTATTCACAGTACAGTATCCAGAATTCTTCCTATACAAAGGAAGGAATTGCAAGAATTCAGTAGAAAAAGAATCATGAACATGGACTTGAGCTTACAGTTATGACATCCTTAGTGAGCACTACAGATTACAGCATTTGCCAGATTAGAGAGCTCTAACATCATGTATACATAATAGTGTGAGAACCGTTTGAACTGTAAAAGGTGAACTGCGTCGGCTCCGGTGAGCTAAACATTGACCATCTCCCTCTGCCATCCAAAAAATCTTACCTAAGGCCATCTGATGGTTGTCAAATGTCTCCATACTTATCCTTGCGATACGTGGCCTTTTGTGGGTACCATTGTTTTGTGTGTACCAGTTATTAGGAAAAAAAGTAACTGGTGCAGTAACTGATATGAAATAGTATGTAAACACAAAAGATGCAACATGTATGTATGAGCAAAAAGTTGATTCCAAACCAAATATAATATAAATGACCTAATATGGATGGTAGTGCAAAATCATATGTTTCCCAAATATTGGGGGGTGGGGGGGAAATGGGTGGTATACACCTTAGTGCTCTACTGTAGAGGGATTTTGGTGGTATCAGTGTCTGGCTTATACATCAAAGATGATGGTAACAATTCTATTTTAATTCTATATTGTAAGGAATCAGTTTGCACACTGTAGAATGTGACAAATTCCAATTTGTTTACTAGACCCATTAGGTGGTACTGTCATTCTAATTATTATTGAAGGAGATATTGGGTGCAGTTGTGAGGAATTCAGTAGATAAGTTTATAATGCACTTTAGCAGCAGCTTGTACAGTGCGATGTTATCTCCCCATAGTGCTCCGGGTACACTTCTGCACTCTTGTACATTTACTGAGAAATGCTGTAGAACAGCATTCACACTCTTGTCACAGTGAGGGACAACTTTATTTTCTTGGAATATCCTGGCTGTGCCAAGCAGTCAAGAATACAATTTTAAAATAGTCTGATTTCTTTTTTTTTTTTTTTTTTTAAATAAAAATACAACTCATTGCTAATTTTTTTTCTGACTGTGCAAAAATCTCTCATTACAGTGTCCTTTTAAGGTGGTTTCACAAGAATGAGTTACATTTGCTATCCTTGAAAAGAAGAAAGAAACCCTGAATAACGTCTATTGATTTTTCTTTTTTAAAAACTCCTTATGCTGTTAACTTTGCACAGAGCTTTACGTCTGCCACACCTACACACTCACACTCCCTCTCCTCCTCTTTCATATAATAACTATAACTGTTTTCCTGCCTCTGACAAACTGTTAATATGCAGTTTTTTTTGAGTGAGCTGGAACAGATGCTTTTGTTTGTTTGTTCCATTGAAAACTGAAATAATATTTGTATTTTGTATGCTTCACAGAAACGACAACTAGCAGCACAAAGTTTAGCATTCAATTTAAAGGACAAAGTTTTTTGCGAACTGTTTCCAGAAGTAGTAGAGGTAAGGCTTCGCCTCGATCATAAACAACCAAACAAAAAGAAACAAAACTTAAAATTGTAGATATTCGTTATGTCTCCCATTTGGTACATATTCTCCAAACGGTACCTGGAATAATGTGTACCTGATCCAGGGTATCTGATGTCATTCGCACTGCCTCTTGCTGAGAGAGAATGTATGTGCTGACGGGTTATGCTCACCAGCTAGAAACACATACATTTTGACACGATCTACAAGAAAACAAATCTTAGAATTGTGTTTGTATCTAGACCCTGGAATGAGGCATTCCTTCAAGCTACTATGGTAACATAGTTGTTTATCAATAAAAGTACAATGCATGGGATAAATATATTCCGATTCCTGGATTTATTATCCAAACTCACCCTTTACCCATTATAACCAAACTTTGCTAATTAATTTAACATGCAAGCTTTCTGAAACTTGATGTTAATAGCGGGATTTTACATAAAATTTATCTGTTAACCTCTGCTCACTATCTATGTATCTATTTTTCTTCTTCAGGAAATAAAACAGAAACAACGGGCACAGGAAGAACTTAACAACCGACCACAGACTCTTCCACTCCCAGATGTTGTGCCAGACACAGAAGCTCACCTCGGGCAAAATGGAGCTGCAATTCTAAATGGTCACGTTCCTTTGGCAGCCGGAAATCATGCTGGTCTGCAACAACCAAACCGTAACCATGGACTTCTTGGGGGTGCATTGGCTAATGTCTTCGTTATAGTGGGATTTGCAGCCTTTGCATACACAGTTAAGTATGTACTGAGAAGCATAGCTCAGGAATGAGAGGTTCATCTGAACCTCCCAAGAAGAATCAGAGACCAAACTAGCGCTAGTCAGGAAGAAAAATGAACTAATAGGAGGAGATGGACTCATTCAGCGCCATGTCTGGTCATAACTATTTGCGCTACACTCGTACAGGTGATCTTTCAGTTGGCTCATGGGTTTATAATTCTTTTTAGAACGTGAGAAGAGTGCGTATTTTTCCATGGCGGCAAAGAAAAGTAAGAGAATCTGTTCTGTGTTCAATAGTCTTTTTGGTTGTTTGTTGATGGCTACCAGATGTCCTCATTTCTACAATCTTTACCATCTACTTTAATACAGAAATGAATCACGTTTTAAGTAAAGTAAGTTGTAGCTCCTTTTTTCCTTTATTTTCTTCCTTCCTCTTAATCATCCTAAATGCTGCAAGGAAATATCAGACAGCTTTTCTGTGACTACCATCTTACTGAGAAGATGAGCCAGGGCTTATTAGACTGCCTTTTGGTGACCAACAACTCTCATAGAAGATGCTGGAGCTGGATACAGCTGTTCTGTTTTGCCACCGTTCTTAGAAGATTACATCTGGGACTAATCTAAGCTTTCTTCATTGCGTACCCACTACACCATGTCTGCCACAATGCATTGCCTTGTTTTGGAAGGCAACCATAAAGTGATTCTAAGTCCCTATATTTAATAATATACTTGTATTCATGTGTTCCTTTTTAAGTTGAGATGTAAATTTTAGATATGACAGCTGGTATTTTAAGATGAACTTTGGAATTGTTATATATCAGTTAATTTATATCCTAATAAAATTGGATATTAACCTAGAAGACTCCACAAAAACCTTTATTTGTTACATGAATGATTCTCCATAGTCTGTTACGTCTAAAAACAAACAAAATCCTGCCATTTTTATTATTTGGTCACAGACTACATTGTAGTAAAAAAAAAAAAAAAAGGCTAATCTTAATCACCCCACGGTTTACTTGCCATACTGTTAGACGAATGTATTGTATTTATTTTTCCAAATCACAGCACTCAAGTCAATGTAGTTTTTCAGAAAAGCGAAATTTGAAAATCTAGTTCCTGCTCCCAAAATGTCTTGTACAGTGAATGTTTGTATTTTTTACAAAAATAGCGTGTATTTTCCATCTTTTCCACTAGATGGAGAAGTATGAGAATTCAGTGAGAATTGTAGTTCTGGCACTACTGTATCATAAAATGACATGTGACGGACATTTTCTTAAAATGCTAGACAGGTAAATAAAAGGTCCAATTTTGGCCAACGGTGTAATCTTGTTCGTAGCTTAATCATTTTGGTGAGTCTGGTACTTTTTGGTTGGCATTATGTAATCCCAAATCTAGTGGACATTATCACTAGTTGAAACTGGTATCATTCAACCCAAATTTAAGACTTCCAGTCTGCATATCATGGACCAATCCTGAACCTGGGCTAGGTCAAGGCACAACATAGTTTACAATTTTTTCGAGTCTATTACTGTATTAGATTATGCTTATTATTTATATAGAAACATTTTCCGCAGTGTTCTACTATTATAGAAAGGGGACCCTTGAAAGTGAAGAAAGCTCTGGTCAAACAAGCTTACAGTCTGACAGGTTTATTTACAAAAGTGATAATTTAACCCCTTAAGGACCAAACTTCTGGAATAAAAGAGAATCATGACATGTCACACATGTCATGTGTCCTTAAAGGGTTAAAGGGAATTAAAAATTTTAAGTCAGAGCAGCCAAACTTAAAAGCATAGCTGAATAAGAGAATGTTTGTTTCCAGTTCGCCAGTACGGTTATTTTGACCTTATATTTAAAATTCATTTTACATTCTCACATTGAATAACACTATATGAATATGACTTCATTTTAATGTCGCCAGATTTCTAGGGGGGTAAACATCCCACTCACTGAATTTTTTTTTTATAACAGCGTGATTTATTTTGGTGATTGGAGAAAAAAGAAATATATATATATATTTTTTTTTTTGGTTTTTGAAATATATTTATTCTCAAAAAACAAAGTTCTTGTGAGGAAACAAATTGTGATTGAAAACCCCTTCCACCTGAAGTCTGTGAATAGTTAATACAATGTTAAACAAAAATCTGCACACCAGTCAAGCCATAAGACTTCCCAAGCACTACTACTAAATCTCAATAGCACACCAGTAACCAACCTCATGCTGATGATTTGCATTATACGACCACTATAGGCTCAATGAAGTGGTCTGGGTGCCAGGTCCCCCAGGTTTTAACCCTGCAGCTGTAAACATAGCAGTTTCAGAGAAACCTATGTTTACACTGAGGGTTAATCCCATCTCTAGCAGCTGTCTCACTGAGCATGATTCTCACTGTGAAAATCACAGTGAGAAGACACTGACGTGCATAGGAAAGCATTGAGTAATGCTTTCCTATGGGCGGTTTGAATGCGCTCGCGACTCTTGCCGCGCATACACATTCGGTGCTGACATCGGCAGAGGCAGGAGAGTTCCCCAGCACCGAGGGAGCCCGGTGCTGGAGAAAGGTAAATGTTTTAACCCCTTCAGCCCAGCAGGATGGGGCTGTGCGGGTGGGGGAACCTAAGGACTACACAGTGCCAGGAAAACAAGTTTGTTTTCCTGGCACTATAGTGGTCCTTAACAATGAAACAGCTGTCCATGAGTGGTTCACTGGCTTTGCATCTTTGCCTTGTGTTTTGTGTTTCAAAGCTGTTGTATACAGCAAACACAGACTCAATGGAATGTGACCCTTTGTTAAACTAATTTGCATATGCCCACCCAGAATCCTTTGCAGTAGTAACATCACTGCAAATTTGTGATTCTTGTGTTAAAAGTAAGTCTTATTGCTTGACTGGTGTACGGATTGTTGTTTAACATTGTATTATATATATTCTAATGTTTTATTTTTGGGGATTGTGTTTTTCTATGTCTAATGCTTGGTGCATTGCTCATTTTCTAACACTTAAAAGAAACACACAAAGCAAATGTTAACAAATTAAAAATGGCAAAATTTTGAGGTTAAAATCGCTGATCTGGAGTAATTCTCAAATTCTGCTTTAGTTCTAGCTTGGCCATTTTAGTCTCCATGTTACAATTGGGATTTAATTTGATAAAATGATTTAATTTGATAAAATTTGTAGCTTTATTGAATAACCATAGTGTGTGCACTTGGGACTCTGACAATTCTTTGAAAGCGGTCACAACAATATAACTTCTAAATATTTTCATAAAGATATCCTCTTTATGAAATCCTCTTATTGACGGTGTTAGAATTTCCATGATAAAAATTCCAAAGTAGAAGGGACTACTTTGTCTTTATGGTAAAGATGGAGGATAGTAGAAGGCAGAGCCTCCACTATCCAGTTTTTCAATTTCCACAGCCATCATAATTGGGCACCTTCTTGCACATCATCAGATTTGCGCTATGGAAGATCCTGCAGCCTTGCAAGATCCTTCACAGACCTTAGTGTTGTACTCTGGTGTTTGAAAAAGAGAAGTGATGACAGGATTGGTGTTTGAAGTGTCAGGAGTTGAAGAAAAAAGATGACTGCACCTTGTAAGGTGAGCTTCAGGTAAGTATAGTTGACTTCTGTGGATTCCCTCCTGGCCGCTGCATTCTAAGCTGGAATTTCACCTTTTGGAGGTCATTGCAAACAACCCCTGAAAGTGACAAAGCAGCTTTAATTACGGAAATATACATTTGGAAAAAAAAAAGTGACAATGCGAATCAATTTGCTGTTAAAGTTCTTTTCCAAATTAACAAACAAGAAGTACATCAATTTAATCATTCCATGCTGTTTTGTTATCTTAGTCTTAATGGGCAATATTGTTTACTATGTTGCGTGTGACCCAGAGAACCAGATGAAGATCCCAGGGTGTTATTTGTGAGTGTTGGCTAACCTTGGACTGTGTTGACTCGGCATTCTCACTATTGTTGACTTCATTTCCAGGATATTGATTCAACATCCTAGAAAAAATTGCCCACAACAACCAAAGTTATGTAAGAGATGTTGGTAATTCCTACACTAATAGTGCATGATTCCGGTATATTCAACATGGTATATCAATCAATGACTGACATTTTTAGTAAATGCTAACTCAGAAGCCACCAATATACTCAAACGGTCTGCCAGGTCAATCAATGTTCCAAGTTTATTACAAAGGATACTCTAGGCGCCAAAACAATTTTAGCTTAATGAAACTTGTGTGTGTGTGTATTGATCATGCACCTGCAGTCTCACTGCTCAATTCTTTGCCATGTAGGAGTTAAATAACTATTGTTTCTGTTTATGAAGCCATATTCGCACAGGAAATATGAAAATAAGGGTTTCATTTTCTGTTTGGTTATACAATAGTGTGTTTATTTTAGAAGCTTTTTTTTTTTTTTTTTTTTACTACTGTTAATTGAACTTTAATCAAACAGAGGCATCTGCAGGCATTTAACCGAGCAGGAGATAAGAAATTCTAAATTAAACACACTGTGCAATAAAGTTTAAAAAGAGTTCTCTCTTTACTGGAAATGTGCACAGAGGTTGTCAGGGGTGTTGTTACTGGTGTTGCATAAACAAACTGATTTGACTCCTAAATGGCACATAATTGAACAGTGAGACTGCAGGGGCATGATCTATACACCAAAACCACTTCTCTGAGCAAAATGTGTTTTGGTACTTGGAATGGAAAACATTGGAACTCTGGTAGTGCCAAAAGACTTATTTTTTATTAAAAATACTTTCTAATTGGTAATGCATGTTATGACTCACTGATTATTGCTATTCAGTTACAAATCTAGTAATTGTGCAAAATCAAAACTATGACCACTTTTTTTTTTTTTTTTTGGTCAAACCAGCGATTTTTAGATATATTGAGTGTGACCCATAATCCTTTGCTAGCTATATATCAGGTGTAGTCCACTTATGGCTCACTAGCAGTTGAACACAAACCTCTATTTCTTTCAAGCAGACATAAAATTGCTTAATGTGCTCTGCAAGCTTGAATCACCGGAAGTCACTACACTAAAATGGGGTAACCTTATCTGACTACATGTAAGGTCAAGTTCTCTGGATTCCATCATTTATCAGAAACCTCCTTTTTAAATGCCAAAAACAATAGAGAAACTGAAATCTGCCAGTTCACCAGAAGAAGAATGTTGTGTACATGTAATGCTCTATTTATAATTCTCTGAAACTTGTACTTGTGTCAATTTGTTATACAAATTGTATTTACATATGACTAAAGTTTTGTTCAGACTTTTATTTCATTTGTGTCCTTTTAAGGGACTTGTCACCTCTAATTTATTATGGTTAGCTAGTTATTATCTTCTATAATTAGGACTCTGATATTGTCTGCCGCTCTCTTGGATTCCATAGTTGAACTATTCTTGAACCCTGGTCCATTTGGATTCTGTCAGTTTCAATGTTAAGTCTACGGAGAATTGGTGAATTCACTTGAACTCTGCAACAAGTATGGTTGCTGCATCTTCTTATAGGGAAAACCCAGGTCCTACTGAAGTGATGTTCAGAGGTTGGTCAATAACAATGTGCTTAAATCTGTTCTGCAAATCAAGGACCATTACGCATAAAAAATGCTAATGGATGTACATTAACTCTGCAGTTTCTAGTGGAAATGTTTATTGGCATAGACTTAGTGTTCCTTTAACTTGTAGCTGAAGCTTAGGTTTTTGGAGCAGAGAAGTGCAGGTACAGTACAGGTGTTTTAACCCAATCGGCTATATACAGAAGTTATTTCAACAAACTATGCACTTCCATTCAACTATATAAAATTATTGATTTGTCTATTCACGCAGACCAGGGAAACTGCACAGAAATCTATCTGGTTTCCTAATCTTAAATCACCCAAACTCACCCTCCCCTCTTAAAAGAAAAAAATCTTCCAAGGAAAATGCACACAGAGGACTTAATGGTACAAGCAATAATCCATTATTGTGTAATAGTGGTACACATCAAGGTACTGATAAAAATCCGACATGCGACTGAAACACTGATGTGTACCACTATTAAACAATAAAGAATTTTTGTTTGTACCACAAAGTCCTTTGAGTGCACTGGGAATACGTACTAAGAAAACAGAAAAGCCAGCACAAGACGTGTGTGTGTGTATATGTATATATGATAGATATATAGATATATATATATATATATATATATAGACGTTCGAGTGGTGACAGAGAAAAATACTGAAACCCAATTAATTGAGTAACTGTTTTTTTTGTTTGTTTGAAGACCTATTAATGAATCTATCATCACAAAGAGTTTGCTGCTGCCGCCGCCGCCACCACCTCCCCACGGACCCAAGTGTAGATAATTCAGAATGTGTAGTGTTTCAATCAGAAAAACTGCACTTACATACGCTTACCACTTGAAATCACTGAAGTGGTCATGGTGGTTGGAGTGACTCATTAATTACTCACAAAACTGTTTCAGAGCT